AGCTGGATTCCAAAAAGAAAGAGGCACTAGTGATCATATTGCAAATATGCATTGGCTACTGAAGCACACACCAAAGAAGTTCAGAAAAAGACCAGTCTGCTTCATAGACTAGAGCAAAGCCTTTGATTACATGCATCATGTGAAGCTATGGATGGTCTTGAAAGAAAAAGGTGTCCTTCAGCACTGTATTCTGAATATTTTATTGAACTTCTCCCACTGATCCCCTGGATATCTACAAATATCAGGTGAGAAATATGACGCTTACTTCAAGAAAGATGTATATTGCCAGGAGTGGCCCCAAAAAGTGTATAACAGAACACCTCTGGTGCACATGTTTAAATATTCTAGACCCATGGTACAGAAGGCAGAGTGCTATAGAGCACAGAGCTGAAAAAGCTGTGAGAACAGATGCCCCAAATGGCTCAAGAGGGTAAGTCATGGGAGACGCTCCCTAAGGGAAGGTGAACGTTTCCTCATATGTTTGGCCAATCTGGGCTGGGTGAGAAATCCTTCTATGGTTTGCAATCGGTCTTAGTTTACGCGTGGGTAAAACCCACCAACTGAGCATTCCTAAGGAAATATGATTGCGTCATTGCAGCCTGAAAGGAAGAGAAAGGAAAGGCAAAGAAACATACATCATTCTCTATGCCACTACATTACAATTAAAGTATCAGAATAAAACATGCTCAGATAACTTTATTCATGCATGAAACTTGGGTTTCAAATGAAGTCAACATATTCTGTACAGTGGTACCTAGGAAAGAGGCCCAAATAGTTCCTTCTTTGATAAATAAGCAGAAATAATTATCTCCGAGTATTTCTTCTTTTTCCACAGTCTGAATTTACTAATGGGCAATTTGTACTCATGTGTTCTTTTACATAGTTTAAGGAGTGTAAACAAATCTTCTGATCAAATACCTGACTGTCCTTGATATATCTGGGAAATGTAAACACCATCCTTTTTTGGCCCCCTTTTTCATAATCCAGGACATTCTTTTAATCATTGCTCATCAGCTGAGTTTTTTCTCTTGCTACAACCATTCTGGTGTGTCTGATTGCCTTCTATGCGATGTTTTAAGATCCAAGGATGACTTGTGAGGGTTTCTTTGGTGCTGTAAGATGGGACGCCACCCTAAGTAGGGCAGAATGCCTTCCGAAGGAAGAGAGCACCATATGACTCACAGAAGCTTGTGCTGAAATGAGGGCATATGCCCCCTGCCTTGCGGGGAGATTTTTGATCATCAAGCCCTTTTCCTACTATTTGTGCAACATCTTCTTTGTGAGTGATGTGCTGGGGAGAGAGTTGATTGCTGCAGTTGAGGTTTTCTCTGTTCTTTGTGCCTTTTTCTTCCTTTTATCTAAAATTACAGTCTCCCCTGCTGGTACTTTTATACTTTCCTATGTATACAAAAAGCCAAGACAACTGAAATGAAAAGCTGATGATGGCAGTCCCTTTCCATGATGGCAGTGGTCTTGGCAGTGTGGGAGGGGCATGGGCAGGGGGTCTCCCTGGCATGAGTTCTGCTTCATCTGTCTGGGGCATGGAAATAAATGGACTGCAAGTAACAAAGGAAGTTTAACACAGCCTGAGGCAAGCATAAACAGAGGGAAACATCAATGCAAGTGGTTAAAACAATAACATCCAGTATTCATATTATTTCTTTTCTTCTCTTCACAAAAAGCAGGGGGGGAGGGGTGGCGAAAGACAGAGGCAGAATTGATTTTAAGAAAGTAAAAACAATTGTCCTTAAACCTCCAAGGATATTTCAGCACAATGGAATATAGCACAATGGAATATCTACGTCCATTAATAAGGACGTTTCCCAGCAGTTCAGTTTTTCTGAAACCTTTATAAGACAGAAATTGAGCAGAATGCTGCTGCTTTCTTTACTTCATGAAGGTTGGTTGTCTTAGCCTGCTGCAACAAAAGCAGCTAAAAAAGCAGGCTTCACACTCACAGTACTCTTTTTGGTCTAAACAGGCGCGGGATGGTGCCCTACAAATCTTATGGGGCCTTCACAGAATAGTAGAGCAGTTCAGCTCTGAAGAACTAAAGGCCATTTCAGCAAAAGACTGTATTCTATGAAAGCTAATGCTGCAATGGCTCCGATTGTTTTTAAGGTGCAGCAAGATACTATAGCACTTTCCCTAGACACAGTTGGAGGACTGTGGCACAAACGTTGCATCCCTTTCTTTGTTAGCACAAGCTGCCCTCTTGGCTTAATCCATGACTCACGTTGCAGTTCTAACAATCACTGGGTTTTTTAGAAACAGCCTCATGAAGAACAAACACAGAGAGACGTCTTATGTAACCTTTGGTTCATTAAATGAAAAATGTGCAGCTTTTCTCTAGTTTCATTTTTAATGATACCAAAATCAGCAATATCTCAGCACTCAAATTAGGCCAGAATGTGTCAACGTACAATTTGCAGCACTTGATAGCAGTGGAAGTTGCCTTAGAACAGGCCAGGCAATTGGCCCACCCAGCCCAGTATTGCATACTCTGACTGGCAACAGCTCTTCAAAGTCTCCAGCAGACGAGGCTCTGTCTCAGCACCCTGGACACTTTGCACCCTGAGACCAGTGAGGAGGCGTTGGCATCCAGGAAGAGGGCTGTATGCTGCTTTCAGGAGGTGGCAGAAACTCCTGGCCTCACCGCCTGCCTCCCAGAACGCTTCCCTCTTGGGCAGATCATCAAGGGGAGACTGGAAACACTGACAGAGAAGCCCAAGGAGAGCAAGTCACTGGCAACCTGCTGACTCTTGGGAGGCCTATGCAGGGTATACGGCTGACCCGGAAGACCTGTCCTGTGATGGGGGGACACACAAGTACCTTTGCTTTTCCCCTTGGGGATGCCTCCAAGCCAAACTTACCTGTTTTATTTATTTGTCACACCTGTTTTCCTTTCAAGGTTTACATCATTCTTCTCGTGCTGCTCTCAGTCTTATCCTGCAACAACAACCCTGTGAGGTATCTGGGCTGAGAGTCTGACTGGACCAAAGTCACCCAGAGAGCTCCATGTCTGAAGGCGGACTAGAACTTGGATCACCTGAGACCCAGTCCCACGCTCTTATCCACTACACCACACTGGCTCTTTCCTGGTTATCAGTCAGTCTCTTTGACTGTCGCTTTATCTGCTGCTCTAACTGTCCCTTAACTTCTTGACTTATGTCAGGAGAAAGACGGGAAGCATGAGCCTATTGATACTCATAGCCTCTCAGCAGCTCTTGATACCATCAACCGTGAAAGCCTTCTGGGGCAACTGCTTAAGATGGAGGGGAAGCACTGCATCGCAATGCCAATTGCAGCAGCCAGACTACACACTGGGACCAGAAGTTCAGAGCATGCAGCACAGATTCTGTCCTGCTTGCCTTTATGCTTGCAAATCTGATGCTGGCAGAGAGCGATAAAACCTCACAAGGCCTGGGGCTGCAAGAGCTGCTGGGGAGCATCTCCTGAGCTGAGCCTACCTGGACACTGTGGCCAGCCACTGAGGAATTCCTCGGAGTGCCATCTTGCAGGGTGGCAACAAGCAAAAGAGCTTCTAACAGGGTGCCAACCCCCATTTGTAGAATAACCTCCGCACAGAAGTCCAGTGGGCACCAACTCTGCCATCTTTTTGGCACCAGGTTAAGACTGCTTTCTTTTCCAGGCATTTAATGACATTTAAACGTCTGTCAGGGCGTTCCAGCCAGCTGGTTCTCTGGAGTGATCCCTCCACCGAAGCTTGCCTTGGCCTTGTGCTTTGACAGTTCACAGCAATTAAAAGTATTAAATTCAAGAAAACAAAATGCCTTATATAAGTGAGTACAACTACTCTACTCTAAAATAAATGTAGTAACAAGGTTAATCTAGCAGCAGGGTGAAGATTTCAAATCCAGTGGCATGTTGAAAGAGCACAGGCGTGGGGGGTGCAACCCAGTGAGGCTGCCCAGAACCCTCTGAACTGGTGGGCTGGGTTTCGGGCATCCCACACGGGGCAGGTGGAGTGCAGAGGCGAAGGCTGCCCGCAAGGTCCTCCCACCCTGCAAAGCAGCTGCTTTCAGCTGACTCACCATGGCACGTTGGACAGAAAGGGAAGGAGGCTGAGGTGCTACTAGGAGCCAGTTGCCTCCCCTCCTGCCCCAAGGAGTGCCCCCAAAGCCCTTTCGCTGGGTTTAGTCCCAGCACTCTGGAGACGTAGCTGGTGCAGCTCTTTCCATGCTCGGAGCTGGGAATCGAAACAATCCTATAGCCCTCTGGATACTGTCTATGAGCTACAGGATTGCTCTGTAGACTAAAATGCCCAAGAAACAAGGTGCTCTTCCCCCAGTGCCAAAAGCAGCACAAATGTGGGCAGCAGGCAATGTCTTCTTGGAAGCCCACTCCAGGGCTGGGGTGCCACAAGAGGAATAGCGCTGTTTCTCAGCCATCTTCCACCACACTTCCTTCCCAGAGCAGAGGGGGATTTTAGGGTCCAGGCAGGAGGAGAAACTCCTTCAGGTAACCTGGCCTCAAGCCAGGTAAGATTTTAAAGGTTAATAACAGTATGTTGACTTGGGTCTGGAAACAGGCTGGCAGCTGATGGAGCTGGAAAAGTCCTGGCATGATGTGATCACGATATGATTGTATAACTTTAAAATCCTATTATATGATTCATCACCCAAGTCACTGCTGCTTCAAGTCCGCCTTTGGAATTCCAGACACAAATCCCAGCATCAGGTACAGAGCTGTAACCCGAGCAGCCCAGTTCCTTGCCCCTTCTGTGCATTAATAGAAGCCTCACTCACAACCAGCCCGGTCATCTGATCGATCTCAACAGCTGTACACGCTGCCAGCTGCCCATCTTCTCAGCCCTCAACTTACTCCACTTTGCCACTGTAGGGCTGACATTTGGAAATACTTAGACACGCTGTGACTTGGGACGTCTACCCAGATTGCCTGCAGGGTTCCTTGCCACCACAGGCCGATTAAGCCAGAAAGAGCAGTCATTGCTGCCCTTTGGAGGAGACGTTCCAGCCATGAATGAAGCCAAGACATGCAAAGTCCGGGTGACTTTAACTATTATTCTGATTGGTGTTGCTTTAATGTTCACCGCAGTGGTGACAGATCACTGGGCTGTGCTGAGTCCCCCGGTGGACAAATACAATGCCACCTGCGAGACGGCGCACTTCGGGCTATGGCGGATCTGTATCAAACGGATCTTCATGAAAGAAAATGAGACGGACACGAAGCAGGGCTGTGGGCCAATAAGCCTGCCAGGAGGTATGTGTCTTTGTTCCCTATATAACCACTTAGATAATGCATCAAAATGTATTAAATTAAAACATCAAGACAGGTATGTTTTAGAACACTAGAGAGCATGCTGGGAAAATGGAATTGTCACCACCAATAATGTTCTCAAATTAGCCCTGTGCTTTATTTATTTTTTTACACCCTACCTATCGTCATGGCATGTATTGTACTAACATTTCCTACAATGCTCACCAGCTTTCCTGCTACGAAGGACAGAAAACAGGGAGAAAACCGAACATAACGGATATTTTCTCCTGATTCTTTGATGAGTGCCCATGAACCTAGTCTTAGAGAGCTGAAATAAATCTCTACTTGGCAGACGGAGAACAACTGGTGTGTGGCCTACATCAACACAAGAGTATCAAACTCAATCTTGACTGCATAAGTCGTGTTCTCAATTTGGATAATTCTGCTAGAAAGATATGTCAGAGATATGAGAGGCAGGCTGATCCTGGAAGCTGTGACCAAGAACCTTGCTTTCTTAGGCCACGGTGAACTGTGAATAGGCCACAGACTTTTACAAGTGCATTACTCCTAGGAATAGCTGTTGACCTCTTCACACAGTGCCTCTGAATGCTTCACAGTATACAGCACCATCAATGCAAAATCCAGGAAGCTTCGACATGAACAATGTGTATAGAGGCAAGGAACGCAGCGGCCCCTAGTTCTACACAGACAGGCAGACAGGCGAGCGTGTTCCTGTAAAGCACTGACACTGACCCCAACAGTTTTCTCAAGAGCCCTGTTCAGGGGGCCAAGCGGGGGTACGGGTGCATGTGGACTCATGGTGTGTCCCTGCCCACACTCATCCAGTGCATGTATTCCAGGCCTGAACAACTGCGTGCATTTGGGAATGTTCTGTGAGCAGAGGGACCGTGTGTACAAGCAACTGGGGTGCAGGCTCCACCTGGGCTGCTCATACATGTGCTTCTGTCAGCGACGGAGCCTCTGTCTGACCCCTCTGTGCATTTCTAACCTCTACACATTTGTGTTGCTTGTCTGGCAAGAGTGAAGCACTTGCCCGTTCGGTGAACTCTAAGCAGAGGGATCGAGGCAGGGGAGCTAGTGGGAACTACCATTTCTGGGCAAGAGGACAGTGGGAGTCTGAACCTGGTGAGAAACCATGAGGCCCCACTGGGAAAATGTGGCAGAGTATTGCCCCCCATCTCCTCAAAAGGAAACCCCACCAAAAATGGGGCACTGGTCTTCATCATACAATATAATAGGCACATCAGCTGCTACATGGAATAATTCCTATAACTTAAAATACATCTAATTTAAAATGTAACACATCTCCCCACAGTGGGGAGGACTGTGGCCATGGAGGGCCCTGCTGGCCTTGCTCTGCTTGTCATCCAGGTTTTAAGTGGGCCACTTCCAGGCCTCTCCAGCTCCCGTCTTATGGTGCAACTATCTCTGAACTAGGCTTGGGTAGGATGACTTTTCAGATGCTCTGTAAAGTAGGGCGCAGGGCCACCGTATCAGGGAACGGGGAAGATGAGCTAAGAAGTGCCATTTTCAAGCACTGAGTAGGGAGGCCAGAGATCGAGGACAGGACTCCCGTTCCTTTAATCATTGTGTTGAAAAGAGAATTTCAGCAAGTGCATCTTTCTTCACCTGCCTATTGCAGGCTGCTGCAGCTGCCAAAGCTCCCTCTTCTGCTGGCCTCTGAAAGGTCCTGAAGCCCTGCCTTCCTTTTGCATCTGGGATTAGGAAGTGTTTTGCTTGGAGCTATGACAACACAGATGTAGGCCTTTACTTATCCTCCTGGAAGCTGCAACGTGACCTGTGCTCCTTTTAAAATCAAAGAGCACCTTGTGGGGATCACTGTAGCCAAGAACAAGCCAAGCTCTGGCAGTGAAAATTGGCAGCGTGCCCAGTCCCTGTCCCTGTGCTGCCCCCCCCACACACACACACACTGCATGCTTTCTCACCATCCTAGCCATGCTAATGTGGATCAGTTTCTAGTATGTTGGCCATACTTGTTCAGATTATCTTTCCTGTGTTGTGTGAAAAAGTTCTGACTAATCCCAAGTTTTCAGAATGTCTGATTGACATGAAATCATCCTGCATACTGGACAGATCTGGACTGTGTCACTTTAACACAGGGCAAGGACTCCAATGCAATGCTAGGACTATCCCTTTCTTTGGTCAAAGGAACTGTTACTCTCCTTTCTGCTCATCCTGTCTGTGCAGCAAAGCTCCACTTGCTACTAATTTTGCTAAGGAAAGCCCTCTTGGGGAAGGAGACACAACCCTCTCCCATCTCCCCAGAGCTCGGCCACCATTTCCCTTATTCTCTCCTTGGAAGCACCAACACTGCAGCATGTGCCTGATGTCGCAACAGATCCCTTTCCCATCAAGGGAAGTTGGGCTTCCTTCAAAGTCTGTCATCAGCATGCAGGGAGCAGGGCCATTCAGCAGAGTGAGGTAGCAGTTGTTGGGTGGAGTGGAGGGGGTGTCGGCAGCGCCCTAGCCCTTCCCCTGCACTGGAAGACAGAGAGGTGTGCCCTGACCCCCTAGGTTTGTCTGCTGCTGTCAGATGCAATGAAGGACACCTTCCTGGAACCAGAGAGAGGCACCTGCCAGCCCAGTTGGCTTCTGCGTGTGTCCTTTGCTGGAGGCTGCAACATGACCTGGGGGGACCCCATTATGGGACCACTGCAGCCTTTGGCCTGGCTAAGGCACTCAGACTCCTCGGACTCCCATGGTAGTTCTCGTGCTTCTCAGCCTGGTAGGTCTTCTCTCTGCCTTCTCTTTTCCCCACCCTCCTCCATCTGGCAGACTGGCCACTCCCATAACTTTTCCAGCCCATCAGCCAACCAGATGATCTCATTCCCAGCTTTTTATCACCAAGAGATGGCAGTCAGGGATGGCCTAGTTTTTCTGTTAGCACCATTCCTGACCCAGCATCTGGCTACAGTATGCGAGTGACTTAGTCTTAGACATCCATGTCTCAGACTAAGCTAAGTGACAGTGGCTTTATAAGATTACTCTTACCATGGTCAAGGTGGAAGCCCTGCTTCAAGGACTATCCTGCACAATGCCCCTTATGTATCAAACCAGTTGAGAGAGTAGAGCTTGGTTCCAGGAACCAAACAAGTAATTCACTGATCCATTGTTTCCTAATATCTGAAGAAGGTGGCATGCAGTATCCCTGTACCTCACCTTTCATGAAACAGACAGGTCAGACAGCCCCTGATACAAGGAGCTAAGCTGCCCATGGCTCCCAGTAAGTGAGCTACCAGTTTCCCTAATACCATTGATCAGCTCAGACATAGATCTCAGCTGGCCTTACAGCTCCCATGGAGTACCCAGCTCCGTTCCTTATGTTATTCCAGATATATAGTCCCATGCTGTTATCTTGGAACGCAATTATATGTTCATTACTATTAATAATCCAGTTAATAACAATGCAACAGAAATCCCAGATACAAATATTCACAGATAAGCTACTAACAGTGCCATTCATGCTATTTTAATTGTTACATGGATCATAAAAGATGGACCCACGTGGCATCCTTTGTCAAATGGAGCAAGCAAATAGAGCTGCGACAGATGTCATTGCATTAATTCATAAATCAGAGGAGACAACTGTTTTGTTGTGGTCTAATAATTTAGCAACAAGAACAACAAACATAATCTCAGGAGAGTTTAAAAAACAAACCACTTTTTACATTGATTTATGGGACAGCCTGTGTGACCAGAGACAGCATTTCTATTAACTTTACTAGCATTTTTGCGATAATTATGTGCATTCATGTTTTAACCAGAGCTTTTCCCACTTTTTGTTTCCTTCTGATTAGGATGAGAAAACTAGTCAGGAGACAAACTGAAAGCTTGCAATTTGCTAGCTGGAAACATAGTTGCTTATTGCAAAGCTTTCAGCGCTTTAATTTAATTCTGCAAAGTACTAAATGCCTTGATAGCACTGTACAAATAAGGAAAGATAATTGCTGGGAGTAATAAATTACAATATATGCCATTCAAAAGAAATGTGAAAATTTCCGAGATGCTCAGATGACAGGAAGTGGGAAAGAAACACCACTGCTGTTATTCAGAATCCCTTTAGTCAAGTCTCAAGAACACCCATCAAAGCCCATGGCAGACATGGCCCCCTCCACTCCCCAGTCGTTGGGAGGTAGCACAGATTGTAGTCACACTGCTCAGCCTTAACTCATAATCGTTACCCTTGCCTGCCTGTTTCCCAGGCACATTTGAAAGGCAGCAGACGGGAGTGTAGAGCTCAGCTGTGTTCTCTCCATGCAAGCATATGTTGACATCCATCAAAGGCAGCAAATACACTTGAGCTGCACTGGTTATGGATCTGTTTTATTAAGACAGCTGGTTATTTATGGGCTTTAAATTTATCCAGCAATGTGCAGTGAAGGTAAACCTGTGCATTTCATCCAAATCCGTTTTTTTGCAGAAAGAGAACACACATACAGACACAGAGAGATAATTAGCCCCAATCACCGAGAGAATGGCTTCTGCAGACAGATCGGCAAGGGGGAGACTCCTCCTGGGACTACTCCAAAAATCTGCTTCAGAGGGGCATGAACCCCTCTAGAGAGGCTTTCAGAAACCAAGGGTGAGAAGCGAGGGGGTGAAGTCCTGTTGTGCAGGGATCCATCAAGCACACTTTCATGCTGAGATCTGAAGGCAAACTGCCTTGGTATTAGTAATGGTATGTGAGCAGGTGGCCAGAGGGAGCTCTGAGGGTGCACCCCCTAAATCTGCTCCACTTTTTTTTACACACAATTATAAAAGTTGACTTTAAAAGGCCCATCACCAGAAGAGCTCCACCCCTACACCCCTGCAGCACTTCTAAGCTCACCACAGGCCTGACTGTGCACAGTGGATATGATCTGACAAAAGCTAAACAAGCTGAAGGAAACTAGATGAATCAATATACATTCTAATTGCAAAGCAAGCCCTTTAAACAGGAGGCAGAGCCTCTGGGAAGAAGG